AAAAAAAAACAAAACCCTGTTGCTGGGTGGCGCCTGTGACTCAGTGAGTAGGGTGCCAGCCCCATATACCGAGGGTGGCAGGTTCGAACCTGGCCCGGCCAAACTACAACAGAAAAATAGTCAGGCATTGTGGTGGGCACCTGTAGTCTCAGCTACCTGGGAGGCTGAGGCAAGAGAATCATCTAAACCCAAGAGCTGGAGGTTGCTGTGAGCTGCGATGCCACAGCACTCTACCAAGGGTGACTCTGTTTCTTAAAAAAAACCCTGTTGCCTACCCCACCCCACAGTTCTTATTAACCCAACCTAAGACCCTCTGCTAAGCACTTGTGTTGTTCCTTCAATAGTCATGCCAATGATAAGGCACTGAGGAAGGTGAGGCTCAGGCAGAAGTAGCCCCAGACCTGGTCTCTGATAAAACGTGGCATCTTTCTGATAAATATAGGGGTCCTTCTTCTTCAACAAAGAGAGTGTCCTGTAAAAGTCATGCTCCTCCTGGGGGTCAAATTCCTAGAACAGGAAAAGGGTGGGGACAGATTTCAGAAGCAAGGCAGTAAGAGCCCTGGTGGGCACTGGTGACTCGGGCAGGTGGGCTGAAAGGGTGCAGTAATCAGGAATCCCTCTGCAGAAAGGCAAGTAGGAGGGTGGTCTGCCCTTTTGGGGGTAGGTAGAGGCGGGTCACAGGTAGGTACAGGATATGGGCAAAGGAAGAAGAGGGCAAGAGAGGGCACTTCCCTGGGAAGACAAGGGGCTGTCAAGGGCAGGTAGGCGGGGCTGCACAGTAGGGTGGGGCAGAACCTAAGGGCTGACGAGGGCAGACGTTAGGCACCCTACGTGGCTCAAGGAGGACTATAATGAAAAATGGTTAGATTCTTGAGGAGTGAAGGAGGGAGGAACCGAGACTCCTGAGGTACTGAGGGGTTGCCCCATACATCAAGGTGGGAGGGTGAATCCATAACAGGGGAGGGAACAGAGAGTTTGGGGACATCTCTAAAGATGAGTAGGGCGCCGTCAGTCCCCAAGAGACGGGGGCGGGGCTTGGACGCTGCCGTGGGAGGCGCGGGATCCGAGTTGGCCGCTCCCTGTACGTCGGGGTCCGGGGGCTTGTGAGCCTTGGACGCCTCGGCACATTCGAGATGGGGGACGGGGACGGGAAAGCGCACCACACGGTCGTCACTGGAATCAGACTCAGAGGTGGAGTCGCCACCGCTGTCCCGGTCTCCGTAGCGATCCTTCACTGTAGGGCACAGACCGGGTCCCCCACCCCAGCCGATTAACCTGGTGGACCAGATCAACCCCCACTTGCCGACAACCCTCCACGTGTCGGCGCCCCTGCACGTGCGCCCCGCACTCACGCCGCTGCAGCTCCTCGCGCTCGCGGTAGCGGCTGTACCGTGCGGCGAACGCCGAGTTCACTCGCAGCGGCGACGCAGCCCGCGGCTCCGGCATGGCGACTCTGCAGCCCACTGCGCAAGCGTTTGGAGACGCCTCCAGCAAGGGGCGTGACTACTCTCAGTCCCGCCTCTGCGAACCACAAAGGAGGCGGAGCCAGCAATAACTCCATCCTCGACTCTTCCGGAATAAGGTTGGCCTTGCAGCAGCATTGTCCCCGCCCACACGTCACACCGGTCCGGGGAAGGCCTGCGCCACCGCCCACCGGCTCCACCTCCGGAGTGCTCCGGGCACCCAGCTGACATGTGGGGGCCCTTTCTTCACAGGCGGTTTCCTGTCTCCCTTCCGTTCGGACGGCGTAAACCGCTGCCCCACCCAGCTCACTCACCCCGGCGCCCTAGGAATAGCCACTCTCTCCTCCCCGCCCCCACAGCAACTACGATTCGCAACCCCTCATCCCACTCCCGTATTTATTCCCACCAACATCCTAGATGTGTGACTTCCTATCCCAGACTCAAAAATCGACAACCACCCGCGCTATGATCAGGCACAAGTCTTAATTTAATGAGTACAAACATTAAATTATCCCACACAACAACTTTTCCATAAAGCATAATAAATAGAATCTATTTCCTTGAAAACGCTGTACAAGAGACTGGAGAACAAGCGTCCAACATAATATGAATGAACTTATGCTACCCTCCTATGGCTTTGGACCCACTCCCCACTCCCCCCTATGCCTGAAGCAGTGCGCATACTTCGGGTCTCCCTGAGCACAGCCGGCCCAGGTAGCCAGGTTCCCAGAGCCCTGGAGGCAATGACCTAATTTGGGGCTGGAGCTTTAAAAGCTCTGCCCTAGAGTCTTGTCTGCAGCCTGTGGCAAAGAGGAAACTGAACCGTTTGGGTGGCTGTTGCCTGCAGGAGCCCTTCTCTGTCCAACACACCAAAAGGGGTGAGAAAAAGAAATGAGAAACTTCCCCCAAACACAGGCACCCCAGAAATCAACACCAATAAAGCCAGAAACTGGTGCTCCTCCCCACTTCTGCAGGAGGAGCAGAAGAGAAAGTGTTTCTTCCCTCCCCTTCTGATTTTTTAACCCAGCAGGGTTCTCTTGCTGGGAAGAGCAGCCCCAGGTCACAGCGGAGCCACCACATGCCCCTGCAGAATGTCCACGAGGTCCTGAGCCCCCCTCTGCTGTGCCAGCTCTAGGGGGGTGAGCCCCCTGGCATCCCTATGATGGAGATCAGATTCAGCAGCCAGAAAGCTGACTACAGTGATATGGCCCTCTTGCACTGCCAGATGGATGGGGAGTGCCCCAGTGCCATCAGGAAGGTTGACATCAGCACCATGCTCCACTAGGACCTTCAGGGTGTCCAGGAATCCAGTGCGGGCTGCATCATGGACTGGACTGGTACCAGACATGTCCTGGATGTTGGGGCTGGCACCTTGTTTCAGCAGCTCCAGGGCAATAGTGGTGCTGCCAAACATCATGACCTGTGTGGGAGAAAGAAGGTCAAGAAAACCAAGGTGTCAACAAAAAAGGGCTCACTGGTCTGCAAAGAGGGAAGGGTCTTCCAGGAAGAGAGGACACTGGAAAAGGGGTCCTTGAAGAGACTGGAGAAGTCCCAGGGAAAAGAAGCTCGTAATGAGCTGTTTGAGATCCCAGAGAACAAGTTCTCCTCAGAATAGGGACCTAAGAAGCTGGTCACTCCCTTAAGATGGAACCCCAACCCAGAGAACAATACCCATGAAAATTTTGCAGGAAGGCAAGTCTCTCATATGAAACCCCCTCCAGGAAATAGGTCCCCATACACTGAGAAGTCCCTCAAAGAACTTGGTAGTTCTCTTAAGGGAAAGGATATGCCCAGGGAATTTGAAAGTCCCTTCTCCAGGGAACAGCCAATGTTTCCTTGCAGTACCTGAGTCACTCTCACGACATGAGGTTCCCATGTAAAATGTCCCCCCCTCCCCCGCCCCGGTAATAGGGAACTCATTGGACTGTGACAATATTCCTCCACTGGGGACCCCACAACATACTAAGAATCTGCACAACCCCTCCCTTGGGGAGTGAAGATCCTCCCCAAGTAACCAGATAACCATTCTGAGAAACCCACAGAAAATGGAGACCCCCAGGGAGACATGAACTCCACTTTCCAGAGATTGGATCTTCCCAGAGAAGCCTCAAGAAACCTGAGCCGTTCCCATGGAAACGGGATCCAAAGAAGCTAACTAAATTCAACACTTTAAATAGGAAGCTCCCCAAGGAAAGTGAATGCCCAGAACGCAGAGAACAAGGAATTCTCCTGAGAGGTTGAAAAGTTCTCCCCTCCTCCCTCAACCTCCCCTCGCCCACCACCCATCTATAGAAGGGGACCTTGGGAAACATCAACTGACAGAATGAGGACTCGACACTAGAGGGTCCCCACCGGAGCCAGGGAAGGTCTGGGGTCTCCACACGCGCCCGTTCACCCGCCACCTCCTGTCCCGGGCCGGCCGGGCGTCACCTGTAGCGCCGTCTTGCCGAAGCGGTTCAGGACGTCTGGGTGCACCAGCTCGCGGTACAGAAGGCGGCGCACCTCCTGAACGTCGCCCCGGGCCGCCGCCCCACTCAGCCGGTCGCCGGCGTAGAGCTCCTCCACCAGCATGTCGACACTGGCGGTCTGCGAAGCCCCCTGCCCCACCCCGGCCGGGTCAGCACGGAGGAGCCAGCGAGCGCGGGCCCAGACAGCCCTTTCGGGGCTCGGCCGCGGTGCGTCCGGCCCACGCGACACTCCGGGCCCGGTTGGTGAGTCCGGGGTTCCAACGCTCCCCCACCCTCGCAGCCGGCTCCTCCCCCTGTCAGGCGGCCCCGTTGGGGGCCGGTAGCCCAGCCCAACCCTCCTCCGCCCGGGGGCCCAGCCGGGCGCCCGCCCCTTGGGGGCCGGGTCTCTCCCTAGCTCACCCTCCCTCCTCGGCGGGCGGAGTCTGCTCTGAGCTTGCGTCGCAAGGGCTGCAGAGTCAGACGCCAGTGGGCGGAGCCAGCGTGCCCAGGGCAGCTTCCCAGAAGGCCAAGGATTTGTTTTCTTACAAACTTGCTACAGAGTAACAGAGCCGCGTTGCCCGGCGCCCGACCTGGCGGAGCCCCGCCCACACAACCTGCGCAACCAATGAGCGCGCGTCGCTGGGGAGGTTGTCAAGCCGGCGTTTGGGGTATCGCTCCTGATTGGCCAGGACGCGGACCGTCAAGTATGGCGGGGTTTTTGGTTTTCAAACGCACCGGGAGGGCGGGAAAAAGGGCCGGTTTAACTGACCGGAGGAAAAAAGGTCAAGAGCAGGGTAGCGCGAGCTGCTCTGAGACTTTGGCGCCTCCAAGAGGGAAGGGAGCCAGGCTTGGGCTGCCTACGCCGAGGTTCCACCATTAAGCCGCGCGACGAACATGATTAGCTTTTACTATGCACCTGGTAATGTGTTTCATTCATTCACTCACCGTGCGCGGGGATAGTGTGGGTGCTAGAGAGTGCACTTTGAAGCCACTAAATATTTTATTTTTATTTATTTTATTTTTTTGAGACAAAGTCTCACTTTGTCGTCCTTGGTAAAGTGCTGTGGCGTCATAGCTCACAGCAACCTCGAACTCCTGGGCTCAAGAGATTCTCTTGCCTCAGCCTTCTGATTAGCTGGGACTACAGGCGCCCACCACAACGCCTAGCTATTTTTAGAGACGGGGTCTCGCTCTTGCTCAGGCTGGTCTCCAACTCCTGAGCTCAGGCTATCCACCGTCCTGGGCCTACCAGAGTGGTAGGATTACAAGGGTGAGCCACAGCACCCAGGCTCCATTGAATAATTTTAGATAGAATTAAGCACCATGAAGAAACGTAAAGAGGGAACAGGGCAGATAAGAAAGGAATCATCCTTCCTGGCTCAGAATGAACCAGCCCTGGTGAGGAGGAAGGTTGACCTTGCAGCTGCCACGTGGGCGAGATGGAGGGGACAGACCAACCTCAGAGATCTGCATTCACAGATTTCCTGAGCACCTCATGGAGGTGTTCAACTGAAAAGCAGGCCAGGCAGCCCCTGCTCCTGGACACCAGCAGTCGAGGGCAGGAGAAAATAATTAAATCTTTTCAGAGTGGCAAACACTACTGAGCTGATAAAACAAGATAAATTTAACTTAAAGTCCCTTGTGAAAGGAAAGCTATTGAAATGGTGAGATCAGAGAAGGCCTCTCCGAGGAGGTGACATTTGACTGGGGGCCTGAAGGGGCCTGACAGAGCCTTGCAGATATCTGGAGCAAAGCAAGCCAGGTGGAAGCTATTGCATATGCAAAGTCCCTGAGGTGACATTGTACCTGAAAGGGGAAGGTGAAAGAAGGGGAAGCCATTGTGCAGATAGGCCCTGATTTGGCTTTAACAAAATGGGAAGCACTGAAATGTTCTGAGGTGCCTTCTGCTATGGAGGGAACAGAGGACCAGGGTGGCAACAGCAAGCTGGCCCAGCTAAGCAATAACTTGGGCTGAGGACTGGACATGGATTCCCCATACCCAACCCAGCACTGCAGGGCCCAGTCCCCAGCCAAAAAGCATATAAGTAGCAGCTAGATTCATCTTTTTAATAACATCTTAAAACTCAGAGGAGTGGGCCTTGCTGGCTCAGCAGCTATGAAGGAGGGAGGGACCCCCAACAACCATTAAGGCAGGTCATTGCAAGAAGGCACTCATGAGAGGGACTTCAAGCCCCTCTTTGATTTCTTCACATGAATTTGGAAGGGAGGAAAGCCCCAAGAGTAAGGAAGGCACAGTAGGTATCCCTCCCAGGCTGTGGATAAAGAAGAGGTAAGAAGGGGGACAAGTACTGGGAGCGAGAAACTACCAAGTCAGGGACCTGCTAGACTTAGCAGACACCAGACACATACACACCCCACCTTCTCTCCCTCTCTACAGTCTGCAGCAGGGAGGGAAGCCCCACATTTAAGCTCCCATCTCTTCTCACTTCTAGCTGGTACGAAGTTGATAATCTGCAAGGAAACAATGACAGGGCAGGATCTCAGAAGGCAGGGAAGGGACAGACTGTTTCAAAAATCCATCCCATGCCACAATACTCTTGACTGACCTTGGAAGAAAACAGGTACTGAAACCACAGCAACAAATGGGTTTCCAGGCAGCAGATGGCAGTGCTGTGTTCAGCCCTTGTCTAAACCTCCCAACCACCCTA